GAATCACCAACCAATCTAGACCATGACCAGCAAACCCGGAAACCTCCAAGGAGGGAATGTGAATTACAGTCGTGTGGTTAGTAGGAAGAGTTGAAATGTTAACAAGGATTATGGAAAGGTACAGATAATAAAGTTGTTTAATCAGATAGATAGAATACAAAAGCATTCGAATAGGAGATTGGAAATACTTACAGGAAGACAAAATTATACAAAACAATTTGAATACAAAAGTTTTAAATGTTAACACAGAGAAGTAATATACAAAAACATTGTTTGGATACTTTCTTTGAAATATATACAGAGATAAATATATAATATGTATAATTATATATTTGAAAAGGAACTTCTTCTAAAAATACTACGTGTTTTTGTCGTTATCCGTCAGTCTTTCACTTGACAAACTAAACAATCTTGAAACAAGAAGGCATGCAAATTTACTATTGACCAGGTAAAAGTTTCCGAAGGGTATGGATTGATGATGTTTATGGTGAGTGAGTAAAGTAAAAACAGTAGTAGTTAAGGGCTATATCCTTGGGCCTCTACTGTTTTTAATTTATATAAATGACATGCCAGGTATTATTCCTGAGGGAACAATAATATCGTATACGGATTATACTGATGTAAGAAGGGTGGACAATTGTAATATCAAGTGTAATATTCTACTATAATATTGTCAAGTATTTGAACACCTTCAACACTTCGTCACTTCTTCGCTTTGTATCGCCTCGAACTCGTTCTCGTACTAAAAATTCATCGATCTCGCGACAACTATTTATTCAGGCTGGCCAACTTCCAGAAATATGTAGTATATGCTCTTTAGAAACCTACCTGGTTTTCTTACTTACTATTAATATTCTTCCTAACAATTAACAACGATAAATTACCAACGGCTCATGTTTTTACGTCTGTTATGATTATGCATTAGAGCAAATGGCCAACTTAAATTGCTACTGGCCATTTCTGCTGCTAGGTAAAAGTACCTACTACATTTGCTAATGGTTGTCTAGTCAGAGGGCGACAAAGCAAATAACTAAAATAAATTTTACTTACTTACATATATGTTTTAATTTTAAACAATAAATGACCGAATTCGGTTTCTCAGTCTTTATTTTGGGATTGTAATAAAGGTTTAGGTAGTGCTCAACAACTTTGACGTTAAAGCAGAAATTTTGCCTTAACTGGAAGTTTTTTAACTCGAGCATAACTGCTTGCATTTAATAGGTTTGAGTTAGAGAAGTGTTTAACTGCAATACATTTCACGTCGGTATTTTACATCAACTTTTTGGATTAATAACGTTTTAATGCAAAAGAATGTCCAGTTTGTAACTCATGGTTGTCAGTTTTGCAGATATAAATCTCTATTTTATTCTTATCCATATCTTTTTTAATACATATACTAATATACCTAACGATAAGTAAGTTTACAGGAATTCAAATACTCCGTGGTTCATTCACCTAGGTCGTTTTTATAAATATTTTCAATTTCCGTCTACATTTCAACACGTTGACGATGGTAGTTGATATTATAGCCAATGCAATGTCAACATTTCCGATGTTCTCGTCGTTTCTGAGACATCATACAATGAAAGTTGGATTGGTATCACTAATACTCATCAGAAGTCACAAAGATGATCCAGTTTTTCATAATATGTTTGTGTCAGGATGGTCCTTAGCCGCATAGTAACCCTCTCTTTTTCGATATCTCCCCAATATTGATCCAATACATTAAAAATTTAGAATACGTCTTTCCGCAGCATTATTCACCAGTAAATTATTTATTACTCTTTTTCCTTTCTAAAAATCTGATATTTTTCCTATTACGTGTATATGATTAGAGAACATAAAATGAAACTAATATCATGTGAAATACTTTAAGAAACTTTTAATAGCAGTTAATATTTAATATTAATGTGAAGTTCATTTAATTTATATCCATTACAAATTACCTCAAATTAATGAGGAATAATTTTCAAATTTATATAGGGTTTAATCATATAAATCTTATTTTATAGTGACAGTTGTTTCGCCTTCCGGCAGATTTAAATTTAGTTGTGTGTGTGTTATAGGGGTTAGAAAATGACATCCGAATGGTTATTTGTATGTTTATGATGTTTTTTTTATTTTTTGTTTGTATATCTCCATGTGTTCTAAAATGTTTTGCTTTTTAGTGTTTTATGTATAATTTTAAGGGTTTTTAATTGGTATTGGTTCATGTTGGTTTTCTGTAAGATGTTGAGCGTAATTTGAGTCTATTTTATTTTTAATGTAGGAATTTGTTCCTTGTAGCGTTGTCGTATTTTTCTTCCTGTCTGTCCAATGTATGATATATTTTACGCAATTATTGTTAGTTTGTACCATGATGAAAAGGATTGGGATATTCATAGCTTTACGTTTCACATGTTGACTACAATAGAAGCAAATTCAGTGTAATTCAATCATTTAGTAGTTTCTATCAGAAATATAAAGGACTTTGTACTGAGTAGTAACTGAGTGAATACGGAAGTTTATGCATTTGGGCTTCAACCTTGTCATTTCTTCTTTTCCAAATAATATCAATTGACAAAATTCTTGAGAAAAAGGAACATCGACAAAAGCAAAACCTAGAATGCCTGAAAAATATTATTAAATATTTTATTTCTAGGTTTGGATTATACCGTGATACTAATATGCTTGCGTTAATTTTATCTTGCGATAATTAACAACATTAGTTGTTCTTCCTGTAATTTTATGAATTTTAACATAATTTTTTTCTTTCAGAACGGAAGATTGCTACAGGTGTATGGCAATTCACAGCAAACACGAAAGCGTTCTTCAGTACAAAGAAGGTAACTTTCCATCATTTTACACTCTTTTCTACGTATTATTTTTTTTAATTTTATCATTCAATTACATTATAGTTCGATTTATCATATACAAACATGAGCGTAGGTAGGTAGAGGCAAGAGAGGGCATTGCTGCCATGGCAGCTCATTGTCTTCCCTGGAAAAGGCTTTGACGGATCATGATATCGGCACAAAGTTTAAAAATATCAAAATCAAAAACATTAAATCTATATATAAATCTGCTCCCCTAAAAAAAATTTCTCTCTATACCCATGTCTACAAACCTGTTTTTCTTTCATTGTAACTAATCATATGACCCAAATAAAAATATTAGGATAAATAATGCATTTCAGCATGTAAAAAAAAATAGGATTGCCTATAATTCAGCTGTTTTAAAAAATTTTGATTAGCAGATGACCTAACTTCTATCGTAACTTTAGCAATTTGAAGCGATAGCTTTGAGGATATGCATCCCCATGCAAAAGTGACTTGATTCATATACCTACTTAACGACATTTAGCTCAGAACGATAAGACTAGATTTGACTATCTATGCAATTGTTTGATCTAAATCTTATATTACTTTATTAACACCAATGTAAAATGAAATTCTAAAAGAAAATAAAGTAGATGTTTAAACAATTTCTGGTAATATTAGTTACACAACTTTGATCAGTTCTAAGATCTAAAAATTAAATCAGTACTTTATTCAACGTCATATTTAAAGTTTTCTTCACGTACTAAGTGTAGAATTTAAGTGTTTTTCTACTATTATTGAATTATTTGTAATATTTTGCAACATTTTGTTAGTATTTAAGTATTCTATTATTTTATAGCATTTTGCGATGTGAAGTCGAACCTTGCCGAAATATGCTCTGGTATTACTGGTGATGCGCCCTTGTATAGTATGTTCCGAAAATCGCCCGAATCCAAACCTGTACCGTGCCCATTTAAAAGTGCCCCTTTTACATTTAACTATAACAGAGGTCCAGGAGACTGCAGTAATCCACCCAGCAAGGCTGAAAGTTGTACTGACGATTCAAGATTAGTGTTAAAGTATCAAGCCTGTCCAGACGTTCCATCAACAGAGAGCTTTGGTAAGCTTTTTCCTTCTATTTTATTATAACCTATAAAATTTGTTAAAATTTTACTCTATCATTTTAGTGGAAGAACTAATTTGTTTGGCAATTTGGAAGGAAGGTTCAACTCGTTATCTGGTTGGTAAAGTTTCTCAAGGTAACAGACGATCTTCAACTGATGAAGATCAATATCGATGTTTTATATATCAACGAGAAACTCGAGGGGACAAAACAATTTACAACATTGCCCAATCTGCTGATGCCACTTGCAGTGGTCTACAAAGCGCTTTTGAAGGAAGCAAAACGATAAAATTGACAACAGGTAAGGCTACTAATCTAAAGTCCTAGCAGAATCAGAATGAATTTCTTGTTGATTTACTATTATCATAAGTATTAGAGACAGTGCTCGTACATTTTTTTTTATTAAAGAAACTTTAATTATTATTTATTGTATGTGTAATTTCTTTAGTCGATAATCACCACAATCGCTGTAAATTTCCCGTCTGGATAACTGATCATCATACATGGCTAAGTTTGGATCATAAGAAAACCTACAAATTTTCGCAAGGCCACGCAACTTTGAAAATTGTTGATGAAGAATCGAAGCCTAACCGAATGCATCACACTTACGCACAACAATTTGCTTTCCACGAATTTGGATTTCAGTCCCAGGATCACCGCAGGGGTAACACTGAAGAGAGAGTTGTATGTCACAGTATATTGCAATCTCAAGAACATAGGAAAGTCCAAATTGTCGCTCATGTTACTGCAGGATGGTAAGCTTAATTTATGTAATATGTATACTAAAGTAAGCCAAAGGAAATACGTTCCATATAATAATAATCTTATACTTTCTACCTAGTGAAAATATCCAGTTTTTAATTTTCATTGAATTCATTGCAAGTGTTCCCATATTATCTAAATATCTCTAAAGTGGAGTGTCTTAATCCAATTAATTCACATTACAAAAATTTGCTGGTTTATCGTCATAAAATCCTCCTGAATTTCGGAACAATTAACGATAATGTTTCTTTTCCAGTGACAGCGGTTATGTCTGTATGGTATTTTATAAAAGAGACAGTAATGTCATTGAAATTCAACAATCAGGTAAGATTTATTTAAATAAATTATAGATACCTGTACACCAAAAAATATCATTTTTAGAAAAATATGTGGAAAATCCTGACGAGGCTTGTCAAGACTTTGATCCTAGTGTATTGCGTTATACCACTTTGATGAGTAAGGATAACATTTTTACTAAGTGCTTTTTTGGAACTTAACTTTTTGCTTCTGTTCATTTTTCATCATCATCATAAGGTGCTCAGTCCTAAGACTGATTGTACACGCACCTCCAATCTTTCCTATCCTGAGCTGCCTGAACCCACATCCTTAACTATTTGCGAACAGTAATCTAATCTAGGTCTAGTTCTACCCCTCCTAACTTCCGTTTGTGCCTTTAATATATCTCTAACTAGACTTTCATGCCTGAGAAGGTGTCCTATCAACCTATCTCGCCTATTTTGTATTGACTTCCATAGATTCCTCTATTCTGCTATTCCTTTTAATACCTCATCATTTCTAACCTTCTCTATCCACGCTATTCCATTCCGTAACGCCCAGCGTCCATGTTTCGCTGTTCATTTTTAACTTAAAAACTTTTTTTTAGCTACGACTCTTCATCCAAAAAAATGTCCAAGACTCGGTAGATATTCGGTGTCAAATATTCTTAATGAAGGACGAAGAAAAAGAAGACAACAACAAGCAGGTATTTATTAATCTTCTTCTGTCTCTCTCTCCCTGTTCTTTTAATATTAGCGTTGTTAAAAATATATTTTGTATTTTTTTAAGACGGAGAGCCTTCCAAAAATGATCCAAATATGTGTATTTCGGAAGATTACGATTCCTTAGCTGTTGGATGTAGTGGTTCTAAAGACTCCATGGAATTTAAATCGTCATGTTCTCAGAAAAGCTCAGGTACGAATCCAATTGTATAATTTGAAAATACATTTTTTACTTCATAGGAGATACGTTGAAGAAATTTTATTCCGTAATTTCAATCAAATCCAATGCTTAAAAAATTGTACATAGAGCTCACCTTTAAAGTCTTTTCGAAATACCTAACCACGTTTTTCTGTGAATATCGTTTAAAACTTTATGAATTTTAATTTCTTATAATACACACTGAGAAAACTTCATTGAAGTTAAATTAGCTATTTAGTGCTAGTACCTAAGTATTCCTACGGATTCCCAAGAGATAGTCGTAAATATAATACCTTACTCAAAGTTTTATACGTATTTTGATACTAAAGTCTTTGAACTTACTGAAATTAATTTCCTCCCATGCTTACGTTATAATTTCCCAGAACTTACTGAACAAATGCATCACTTTAAAATTTACCAGATGTACTATTTTTAACTAACGTTAAACCTCACCGATTTGTAACTTCCACGTAGAAAATAAATTGCTATATCGTTGAAATTAACTTGTAATATTTTTATTTCAGCTTATACGTGCCATGGAAATTGGGTAGAAAATGGAACGTACTATGTGGTAGTGTCACCAACTACTACCAAAAAATCTGGAGATAGTTCAAGGTATTGTTTCATGTATTCGGCCGCAGGTCCGCCACTTCTAAATACAGCACTGGACGGTCAAATTCCTCCTCAGTCTAGAAATAGTATTGGTATGCTGCCTATAATGCGGTTTTCGAGCGTTGCTGAAAGCTGCAATCGAAATACCGTTCCTGGAAGTACCGGAAGTTGGTTCTATAATTTTACCTTAAACGGTAAGTACTTATAAATCTATTTATTTGANGCCTAATGTTTTCAGAATGGCAGATATACCCTCCGAATTCTCCCCATTTCAGTTACCATAGAGCTTTGGACGGTAGAACCATAGACATATATTAATGGACGTGCCTTAGCCGTATGTCGTTGTAATAATTTGTTGGTTCGAAAAGTGAGGGAGATGGCGTATGGTTTCGGACTAGTACTATCTCATTCATGACACGCTTACGCAAAAGCGTGAGAGAGATGGATATTGTCCGAAACTTCGTTCCGTCTCTTTCTTTTGTTGTACCACAATTCTCACCGCTAAAGCATGTCCATTAGTAAACGTCAATGGGCAGAACATCGTGCATTAGTGTACGATACCTACCGCAACGCAGCGTGTATTTCGACGTGGCTTCAATGTTGGGCGTGATGGAGCCGGTATTATCAAGGAACTCGATTTTAAAATGGTTCAACTTGTTTGAGACCTGGTACTGCTAAAGGAGGCGATCGAAGAACGAAAATCCTTGAAAGCATCGGATGCCTGTCCTCGTCACTCCTCTAGGCACCACATTCGGGCTCTAAAAATGTCTAACAAAAGTGTTAGTCGAATTTTGCGATTCGATCTGCAGTAACACTACTACAAAATCATATTGGTCCAAGAGCTGCAACGCACAGATGTCTCTCGGAGGTTGGAAATGTCGGAAAACGACATTTTTCTCTTAATGAATGCTGAAGCAAACTGCTACATATTGGGGACAGTGAACAAGTAAAATTTCCGGTACTGATCATCTGAATTGCGGGAATTGCATCAGAGACCTCTCTATACTCAAATGAAATCACGGTAGAATGTAAAGTTGCCTGATTTTGTGTCACTGGTCTATATTTCTTCCAGGAAAATGGATGTACAGTCGCAGTAAACACTACTACTAATTCTCCATGTTGCGTGAATTTTTGATCCCAGAACTAAGGAGACGGAGGATTAATATAGCTACGCTATGGTTTCCACAGATGACGCTACGTGCTATACTTCTCGTCAGATCATGGCTTTTTTAATAAGAAAACTATTTTCCCGGGCATCTCATTTCATTGTGAGGAGATGTTGAGTGGCCCCTACGATCGACGGATTTGTCGCAGTGTGATTATATTTTTTGTGGGCTTACCTAAAAGCCAAGGTGTTTGCTGAAAAACCTCGAACTTTTGACGAATTGACAGCGGCAATTATTCGAGAAATTCATGCGATTCCAAGAGTAATGCTGAGAAAGTGCATGGAAAACTTTACAACTGGGTGTATTGACGAAAACAGTAGTCATCTTGACGTCATTTATCGATAATGAATTTAATTCTCATCTATTTTCTTTTTTTGTAATCAAATGGGATTATGAACTGGATATGTTTAAAACATAAAAATCAAAATTTGTTAGAAAATGAGAGCGTACAAGCTTTTTGAAATTCCTCACATCTCCTTGACTCGCCTTGTATTTAGATTTTGAATTTGCTCACCGTTCTTTTAATACAAAACGAACAAAAGATAAAAAGACTACCTTTAATCTGAAACATAAAACGAGAGTTCTTGAAATAATATTTAGAATTTGAAGTTGCTTGCCTACCGTTCTTGTAATACAAAAAGAACAAAAGACAAAAAAATAAAGAAGTTATTTTTATCAGTCAGCTGTTGTCATTGTATTTTGGATCGGTTCGTGTCGATAAGGTAAACACTATCTCGTAATAGTTTTACAGTAATTTACTACCCTGGTTTTTTGGATCAGAATTCATCAGTCACAATGCAATTCCCGTTGCATAAATTATTTATTTGAGCGAAGCTCGATTAACGTGATATTAAAGATAATGGTGTAATCCTTCTGTATTCAAGGTATTTGATTGGTTGGATTTGTGATAATTTTTTATTATTATTATTATCATTATTATGTCCACTTACATAATTCGGTTGTTCTATCAAATGGTTTTCAATTATTGGATTACAAAAGCAAACTCGGTTGTTTGTTTTAAGCTTCAGTGCAAATGTGTATGCCGGTGTATACATATTGTTCATATATCACATAGTTAACTAAATGTAAGTAGCCGGGAGCGTATTATGCAAAATATGGGTCGACAAATGGCCATACTCAACATTATGAAACTGTGATAACGGTTGCTTTGGGCTAACAATAACAATTATCGCACACATGAATGTCA